CAAAAAAAAAAGACCCCCCCCCCCCTGCCCCCCCCCCAGCCACCATCTGAGATATCTCTACTTACGTGTTAAAGCCTCACTGCTCAGCAGCAGCAGCAACAGCCACAGCTGTGGGTGCCCCATGTTGAGAAAGGCACCCTTTGGCTGCACTGCTCTCTTCTTCTTCACCTAGTCCAGCGATATAGTCAGATTAAGTGTCCCTACTTGGACCTGCCTTTAAATACTCCCTGGCAAAGAAGCTGAGCCAAACGGTTTAGAAAGTTCAGAGCAAATTACAAAAGGTCCAAAGGTTATAGTCCTGCATCCTCTTTGCAATAGCCACAGCAAGCTATTCTGAGCTGGTTCAGCCATGGCAATGGGTATAGAAGGCATAGGGAAGCATAATGGCTCTTTAAAATTTACAGTACTTATTCAGTCACAGCCTACTGCTGGTGGGGGAGATTTCATAACAAGAGCTTGTTATGCCTAGCTATAAAGCCAAAGGAGCTTATCATTTAGGGAGAAAATATATTTTGTGTGCTAGCTAAAGCCCTGAATAGAAAAATAATACTAGAAGGCTAGACATAAAGGCATCCTTTGATCTAGAGTCACAACTGTAAGTAACTATGAACCAACTCAGTTTGCTGAGGATTTCACTTGCAAGTTGGTTACTGCCCCAAAGCCATCTGGGACCTCCAACGGTTAGCAGATTTCGTCTAGCTATTTATCATCTTATTTGAGTTTACAGATGCTTTGGAGGCTTTGATCCCAGCTTCAGTAGCCCCTCCTCTGGCTCCACCTTTTTCCTCCATTCCCTATGAGAACCTTGTACTAAGTTTACCTGCTGGTGTATTAGGTCATGAGAGCACTCTTAAAAGGCCCTTGTTACATTGTAAGAAAGTTCATGTGTACAGATAGTCCTGACTAGTGATGTAAATAGCAGTCATAACAAGTCCCTCATTCTTCCTACCAAAGAATGGCACTTAAGGAAACAGAATACCAAAAAAAAAAAAAAAAAATTGGTTTCTTGCTGAGCACAAAGGACCTTCTAAAATGGTCCATCAAAGTTGTAAGCAGGGAAATTGGGGGAGCGACCTTCTGATGTTTTTTTTGGGATTTAATTAAAGAAAGGAACCCAGGAGGCTGCACACCACTGGAGAAGATGGTTCTGTACAATGAAAAGTGGGACATTCACACACATATTCCTTGATCACCTCATAGCTAAATAGATGTAAGAGCATCATACTCCATCATGAGATTTCCCCAAAGTTATTTTCTCCTTTGAAAGAATTTCCAAAATAAATTCTCCTTTGTCAAATCAAACAGAAACTTATAGGAAAAAAATGCTGGAGAATTTCTCTGCCCTGCATTAGAATTGTTGGCCAGTATATACTTTAGATCCTACCAAAGAAAATAACACTTAGTCTTTGAATGAGCTGAAGATTGTGGTCTTAGTGGAGGAGGAAGACTTTATGATATGCTTCTCCATACCAGTACATTGGCAATATTGAGGACCTAAGTGGGATGCAATCTTTATGTTTTTAGAGGGAATTTTAAAACTTATAACTAGTGTGTGATATATCTATTTTTGTGCTTGTTTTCAACACCAAAAAGTAGGAGATAGTATCAACATAATACAGGTCGACCTGTAAATTTTTGCAGCATGATCTTGGGAAACTGTAAAAACAAAGTTGGGATCTACATGTGGGCTTTGGGTTACCCAGTGCTGCACAACAATATAAACACAGCTAAGGGGAAAGGGCCTGCAGGAGAAGGATCCAAGAAAATCTATCAGGAAAGGATAATTTAAATGATGAATGAGTTTGCAAGGTATTTCAAATGTATTTTTGTCTGGGATAAATTATCACGATTGTTGGTGTGATGGAGCAATTAACATGCTAGGCTAGGCGTGGGGTGATTCTGTTTCAGATCCCCACTTGGTTATACAGTTTGTGGGAGACTCCAGACCATTCACTGACCTTATTTTTACACAGTGCTAAGTCACGCTTCCCTTTATCATGGCTTGTAGCATATGCCAATAATTTTAGCCATAAACCATTCTTTACAAATTGTAGTAGCTGGATTCACACAGTAGGCTAAGACAAAACCAAACACATCCCACTAAGGCTTTGGGAATAGGTTCATCTCTTGCATTGGATCTCTGCTTAATTTATCATATAGGTTGTAGTTCAGATAAAAAGGGGAAGAATCTTGTATGGTGTCATGAATCCTTTGGAAGAAAAGCAGGATATAAATGTAATCTGGAAGTATAAAAATGGATCCAGAAACATTACTTTAAAAACCACATTGTACCCAGCTTAATCTGTTAATGTAACTGGAACTGTAGTTTGTTTATTTATGAACCTCTCTGTCCCCTGAAGGGTTCCCAGAGTGGTTCATAAAATAGTAGCTTACCACAACACTTTATGCCATTAGGCATTAAAAGGTAAAGATTCTCTTGAGTTGAGCTCAACTACTGGTGGCTATGTGGATATGCTGAGACAGATTTCTTGGCCACCGTGCAGAAGAAATCATCATCATCATCTGACTTCTTAGCAGCTCTGGGCAGCTTACAATTTAAAAAGAAAGAAACAATTCATATAGAAAAAAGTCATAGCTGACCAGAAAATTACTTCAATAAGAGAGAGAAAAAAAAGGCCAAATTTATAGGGACTCCAGAACCACCCTATCCCAAGACCTAGGAGAATAACCACGTCTTACTGATTCTCTGAATGTCATTAGGGTGGAAACTGTACAGAACTTGGGGTGGGGGGGGGGGAGGGATCATTCCAGAGGGCAGGCATTGCAACAGAAAAGGCATGCTTCCTGGGTCCCAGAAGATGACACTGTTTAATCAACAGGACCTGGAGCACACCCACTGGAGGGGCAGAATTAACCAGGCCTTAAGATAGCCAGGCCTTATGCCATGAGGGACTTTATAGGTGATAACCAGTACCTTGAATTGCACCTGGTAACCAGTGCAGCTCATGGAGCAATGGGGACATGTAAGCATATCATATGCCCATCCCTGCTTGTCCTACTACATTTTGAATGAGTTGTAACTTCCAAGTGGTGCTCAAGGGCAGCCCCATGTACAGTGCATTATGGTAATCCCATCGTGAAGTGACCAGGGCATGAATGACTATCAGAAGGCCCTTCCAGTCCAGGAATGGTTGCAAATGACATACTAGATGAACCCATGCAAAGGGCTTCTTGGCCACAGCTGCCACCTGCTCTTTGAGCAGGAGCTCTTAGTCAAGATGATCCACAGATTGCATACAAATGTCAAATTATGATGTGCAATCCCACTGAAGACTAAAGATGGAATATCCCCAGAGCTGGGGGGCCCACATAAATCCAGACTTGTTAACATTGAGCCTGTGTCTGTTCTTCCCTATCCAGACCTGTACAGCATCCAGATACTAGGCCAGGACTTCAACAACATCACTTGCATATTGATGATACCTGATCCCAAAACAAAAGATGACTTAACTTAGTGGTTTCATGTAGATGTTACCTACATGAAAACAGTGGGGAGGGGAGAGTGTGTGAGGTATGGGCACAGTCTCTCCCTGCCTGTCATCACTGATTGAAACTGACCACAGAGAAAGGAGAACCACAACAAAATGGTGCCTCCCAGTCCCTGAAGCTGGTCCAAAGGGGTGCCATGATTTATGGTATTGAAAACCAGAGATCAAGGAGGAACAGGATGGAACACGGAGGAGGAACAAGGAGGAACAAGGAGGAACACACCACCCCCATCTCAGCTCTGCCATAGTAATCAGAAAGCACAACCAGTGTTTTCTCAT